CTAAAAATTTCCGTTGATTTTTTAGATTTTTTTTCTCGCATTTGCTTTCTTATAAGGAATAAATACAATTTATTTATATACGTAAGAAACCCGCAACACCTTCGGCAAAAAAACGGCGCGGCGCGCGAACGCGGACCGGGAAACAACACAAATTTGGGTTATTGCTGTTTGTGTTATTTCGCATATACATACATATGTATGTAATTTAAACCAGTAAAGTTTTCATTGAAGAAATGGTTAATCATAGCAAAAATTTGCACATATGTATGTATGTATTTACTATCAGAATAATTTCTCGTACCTACCCAGCAAAACATCTTGAATCACTTTTTGTGGTAACGTGTTTACCTAAGAAACGAATGGGAAATCGATAGAAATTGGTAAGCGCTTCCTGTAATTGGCGGTAACTGCTTTCCCTAAATTGGAGCGCTAAGCGTTGCGTTTTCCAATGCCAACGAGTGCCTGCGCGCTTTACCCAAATCAACGCGGCGTAATTTTTAACGTTTTCGCATTTCCTCCCTTTTTCATTCTCGTTTCCTCTTTCACTTTTTTGTCTTCTCTTTTTCTTTCAGTCTTCTGCATCCAATTTCAACACGTAACGCCCTGTCAACAAATAATAATCCATTTTCCCGGCGATAGCGCCGCGTTATTGTGGGATGCTTCATACAAATTGTATGCGCATGAGGATTTTTGACAGTTCCTTGGCGTTTGACGCGCTAATTTATGGATGGTAGTAATAGGTGAAAAAGCGAAAGACAGTTTAGTCATTCCAAAGTAATACCTTTTAGAATCCGTTTCCAGCACAAAATCTGGAATGCTGGTATATGCATTAATGAGTTTAATGACTTGACCGCAGATTTAGGTAAGTATTTATATATGTATGTATTTATTTACTCATGCTGCACACATTTTGAGAAATCCCCTACAACGTATGTATACGTCATTACCTATTACTCAGATAATAATTATATATGTATTAATTTGATTTAACTAAAATTTTGCACTTCTCTGAAAATTGGTGCCATAAATGAGTAACAAAGTATTGTGGCTTTCAGTGTTGGAACTCTACTACGATCGTAGAGCTTTACTACAATTTTTTTTAGAAAATTTGATTCAACTAAAATTTTGCACTTCTCTGAAAATTGGTGCCATAAATGAGTAACAAAGTATTGTGGCCTTCAGTGTTAGAACTCTACTACGATCGTAGAGCTTTACTAAAATTTTTTTAGAAAATTAAAAAAATTTACTACTCTACTCCACTTTAACCACGATCTTCTTTTGAAAACAATAAGGCGCCCTTTTTGTAGTATTTGAACTGAAATAAAATCATGAAATAGAATTGTATTTCGTTTTAAATCTTACAAACGCATTTACTTCTAATGAAAATATGAAAAGAAGAATTCATTTAAGGTATGTATGATATATAACATTATGTTTCTTGCTTGTATTTTTATGTGTAGTACATATTGCATCTAATCATAAGTATATTCTCACAAACACACATGTACATATCTTTTAAACATAAATATTAAATAATAGCTGAAACGTAATTTTAGAAAATGTTTGCACTTAGTTCGGTAAAACATAAAAAATTTTTGAAAATAGCAGGAGATTACGCCATCATGAAACCTTAATTTGGTTTTTTATCGTGGTCGAAGAGAGATTAACTTCAAGTTGTAGCTGCTAAGTATGCGCAAAGTTCTAGGTACTCAATTGGAAGATGTCGTAACACATTTTTCGTAGATCAAACAAGAAGGGTCGGTAGACATTTTGCACACGTAATCTACTTAAACGTTTTTCCATCAAACGAGCGGTATATAAAAAATCTACACGGAACTTTGTTTTCTGCTACAATTTTACTCGTCATTTACTCCGATTTAGGCTTTCTGCAGTTCTAACCCTGGTGACTTTATTCAATATACATATGTGACTTTACGCAATATATGTACATAACTATATGCATATGTGTACAAATGTCATATGAAAGTCTATACATATATGTACATATATCCATTAAGGCGTATCACGAAAAAAGTTTAGCGAATGCCAGTTTGAATACTTATGTATGTTGGGAAAAAATTTTGGGAGTCAAACAATTTATTTTAAGCACCCGCCAAAAACCACTAATCATGTTTTTTGCTACAACTTTCTTATTTGATATCTGATTTTTAAAATGTTTATGTCGCCGAAAAGATCTCGCTCAGGACTGAAATTCGCCATTTGGTTCAAAACCCGTTTTTATTTATACCTTCACTAATTTCGGAAATACTATCCCTAGATTTTTATTTTTAATTAGTAAAGGTATATATCAAAACAGTTTTTAAAATCGAAATTGGTTAATATTTAGTAATTATAGTCCTCAAAAGTAGCAAAAAAACGCGCTTTAGCTGTTTTTAGCGGGGGCCTAACAATTTCTTTTTCGACATACATAAGCAGTTAAATAACACTGACACACGATAAATTTTTTGCTTTCATATGTTGTGATACGGCTTAATATCCATGCATTCANACATTTTGCACACGTAATCTACTTAAACGTTTTTCCATCAAACGAGCGGTATATAAAAAATCTACACGGAACTTTGTTTTCTGCTACAATTTTACTCGTCATTTACTCCGATTTAGGCTTTCTGCAGTTCTAACCCTGGTGACTTTATTCAATATATATGACTTTACGCAATATATATACATAACTATATGCATATGTGTACAAATGTCATATGAAAGTCTATACATATATGTACATATATCCATTAAGGCGTATCACGAAAAAAGTTTAGCGTATGAATACTTATGTATGTTGGGAAAAAATTTTGGGAGTCAAACAATTTTTTTTAAGCACCCGCTAAAAATCACTAATCACGTTTTTTGCTATAACTTTCTTATTTGATATCTGATTTTTAAAATGTTTATGTCGCCGAAAAGATCTCGCTCAGGGCTAAAATTCGCCATTTGGTTCAAAAACCGTTTTTATTTATACCTTCACTAATTTCGGAAATACTATCCCTAGATTTTTATTTTTATTTAGTAAAGGTATATATCAAAACAGTTTTTAAAATCGAAATTGGTTAATAATTAGTAATTATAGTCCTCAAAAGTAGCAAAAAAACGCGATTTAGCTGTTTTTAGCGGGGGCCTGACAATTTTTTTTCGACATACATAAGCAGTTAAATAACATTGACACACGATAAATTTTTTGCTTTCATATGTTGTGATACGGCTTAATATCCATGCATTCATAAATATGTATATACATACATATATGTATATACACTTCATGCATATGTACAACATACATATCGTCGCCTGAAATGCAAAATGACGTAACAAACATCGTCGCTGAAATGAAAAAGGTCGTAACTAATAAAAAATTCGAAATTCACTTTCTGATTGATATGATTGTATTTCATCGAATTACAACTCCCACATCATTTTATGAAGAAAAAAATTATTACATAGTCACGACCTTTTCCATTACAGTGACGATGTTTGGTACGTCTTTTTGCATTTCAGGTGACGATATGTATATTCATGTACGTTAGGGCGGGTCGAAAAACACAAAATGTTTTATACGAAGATTGTATGGGTCATAGAAGGTGCTATTTTCATTCCTTATTCTAGAAAGGAAAGCATGTTTCTTTGCGACAATATCTTCAGTCTGTAGAATGGGATTGAAAGATTGAAAATAAAAGTGAGAATAAAGATTTTTTAAGTTTTTACAATGACTTGTGTAGATCAATTTCGGAACTTATTTTCTCTCATAACATCATACAAAAATAAATTGGGAAAATTAAAAGTAAGTAACATCAACATTTTAATCAATTAATAAATTAAGTAGGAAAGAAATATTAATTTATTAAAATAATGATGTTACTTAATTTTAAATTGCCAATGATTTTTTTAAGGTTTTTTGTGAGAGTCGTTGTAAAAACTTAAACCATTTGTATTCACACTCTCGTTTTTAAATTTCTAAGAGAAACGGGATTTCTTTTCTAGCATCAGGAATGAAAATAGCACCTATTAAGGCTTATACCATTTTCGTATCAAACATGTTGTGTTTGTCGACCCGCCCTAATGTACATATATATGTGTTTATTACTCATGTATTAAGAGAGGAAATTTCGAACAGTGGCGATGAAAGTGAGAACTCCAATGACCAGTTTTATTTCCATCCAATGGGTAATTTTTTAAGAACGCTCTTCTCTGAACTTGTAATGCTTCGCCCTGGTGTTACAAAATAGCGCCAACGGCCTTTATTTGTGTATCTATGTATGTACATACAAACATATGTACGATCAGCCGGGCTGATCGCGAAATTAAGTACGATCGTATCGTCACCAGCCCGCAGCGTCGTGGAGTGGATTACGCATTCCCGCGTTAACAAAAGAAAAAGTATCTGAGAAGAGTTTCTTTTGATCGGACGCTCGGGGTTTTGAGTCCAGCTGCGTGCGCGAGTTACTCATTTCATTTGTTTGGTTGGTTTTCTCCTATCATGGATCTTATTGTTGGCATGTAGACACATTTTTTTATGCAGCACGCGAGCGGAGTCTCTGAGTGCGGGCGTCTGATTGGGTGTCTGAGAGCAACAGTCATCGGGTTCAATTGAAGGTGCAGTGAGGACAGTTTTCAGTTTCGATTTATACCCAAGTCGTGTTGTATTGTACATTGTGGTCGTCGCATTTTTCGTGCTGTGCCAAATTAAATGTTTATCGACAATAGTTAAAATCAAAGTTATTAAGTCAACGAAAATTCTATCAAAATCGAAAGTTTTCAGCCTTTGCTGACACATAAAAAAATATAATCCCCCAAGTGTATTTATTATAATAAAGTTGTATTTCAAAAGTGTCACACACACTTATGTACATATGTAGGTACATATGTAAATGTGCGTGAGTAGTTCTTATGCTAAATTTGCAACTAATCGTGGGGTGCAACACACGGGTGCATATGCACACACATATGTTCATATGAATGGGAGAGTGTACATATACATATGTGNTAGTTCAAAATACGCGAAATAAAATTTTAATTGCGTCCACTGTGGCAAGAAATAGTCAGTAGCATATTTAAAATAAGTTCTTGAGTGAATGAGAAGTGTCTTAATGCGACGGGAAATTATTGTTTCCTTTGTTTGAATAGCTTCAGTTATAAACGACAAGTAAATGCATTTGGTTCGCGCGGAAAGACTAAAGTTCGACGTTGTGCGATTGTAAGATTTAACACAATTATACACAAATATACATACATATGTCTCAAGAATTCCAAAGTCAAGAGGACACCGAAGCCAAAAATCAGTGTGTTTATAAATTCGATGCAAGCTCTCTTATCGGTGCGAATGTCGGTAAATTCTGTCAAGGCGTTAACAAAAACAATGTTTCAAAATATGCTCAGTACCATGCCTTCCATAATCGCATTGTCATTAATCATTACTGAGCTTTTCGCGTCGGTGGATGGTGTATCACGACGTCATCATCATAGCAGTAATGACAAATCAGCTGTTTCCGAGGATACTGTGGTAAGTACAAATTACTGGTTTGGCATCAAATGCCCCTAACAAATCGAGTCTATCAAATGCCTATAATTACTGCAACGACATTTCATGAGTAAGTTTATTGAACTCCAGCGCGAATGAGTGGCCGGTCGTGGTCTTTTCATTTCTTATTATTCACCTTTCTCTGTGTATGATGCGGCTTCCCCGTCGTTCCTGCCCTTAAAATGTTGTCAGTGGCGCCATGCTGTCGCGTTAATGACTTATCCTTCGCCGACGCACAGTGGTACAGCCCCATACATTTTTTGGGAAAAAGTACAAGGCGTTGGCGTTGGTCGTTGCATTCTGAGGTAAACAAATTTTAATGGACACGCTCAGTTTTCACTTTTTTGCCTGATTGATTTTAGAATGGTGAAGAAAAGAGTTAAAATTTATGGGTCGATTACGGATAGCAACACAACCACGGTTCACTTGCCAGCTGACAACGCAACTGGAAAGAAAATTTGTATTACGAATGGCAACTATAGTGAGTTGCTGTAGAGTTCGACAACCGGCAAGCGGCTGTAAACAAGCTGTGCGAGTAAAACTAAATTATTAAAATAAAGAGTTTTATAGAAAAGACAGCAATGAAACTAAATTCATCACAATTATTTGCTTAAGAGGAAGAGAAATGCATGAATGCGGTCTCAATCGGGCGACATTAGACAATCCGCGCTCCATTAAGCTATAATTTTTAAATCTGCGAGGGCGCTGAAAGCTACAACACCAGAAATGCTTGGTAAGGATTTCAAACCTAAGTGGGGCCGAAGAAACAAATTTGTCGATTGCGTGTAGTTATATGAGCGGGGTACTGTCTTATGGCTCAGAATAGTATATTTTGCATTTGGAT